TCCTTGAGAGCTACTTAGATTGTGTTAGAAAGAAGTTTTTGATTAATCAACGCTATAACGAAGATGTTTATTTTGAGAATAATACGCTCTCTGGAAATAACATATTTTTTCAGGCAATCTAAAGGCAGTGAATAAATAATATCTGCAAATCAAAATAGAGATATATTTCAGATAATCAGTTTAGTATTTTGTCGGCCGTCGTAGCCGAGTAGTTAGAGGTGGGCACTACCACTTGGACACCCCGGTTTTATGAATGGCCTAAGAAATATAAAACAATTTCTCACCGAATAGCTCTGGCGCTTCAACAGGCAATAGCAAACCTTCGACTGCATTTCCGCGATGAAAAAGCTTCTTCTTAAAATCTATCTACCTATAAAACAGAGGTATTTCAAAAAAAAGCAGGAATTATGGCCCATCTTTTTGTTCGATCCGTTCAAAGTTATTTGATTTTATGTTTTTAGGCTAGTCTGATCTTTGAGTTTTGGTACTTTATTCCACTTTTTACTCGTAGTGTTTATTTTATCTGTTACAACATACATAAAAATCTATAACCGCAAATTTCTAGCATATAAATATATTTAACATATTACCTAAAAAACGTGTCTGCCCCCTTCAATAGCTGCTGAGTATTAATTTGCAAACAAGTTGTTGACTCAATATTTTAGTTTTTGTATTTGAAATTTGCTATTTTTTTACAATCATTTCGTTGTTCTTGGCTATTTGCAATAAACTCGAAAATTTATGTTTAAAAAAAAAATTTAATTTGCTGTAAATAAATATTTGCGGTAAATGTGGTGACTAAGTATATACATACATATGTAAATATATATACAAACATATGTACATAAATGATTATTTGTACATAGCCCATAGAAGTCACAGCTACAACCCAAATTAGGCAAATAAGCAAAGGAGCAGCAGCGTCATTTATGGCACGGGTGTAGTAGAAATGAGTGCAACTTTATGCGTTCAAAAGCGCATTAAAATATAAATATTCTTGCTTTTTGAAAGCGATAAGAGTTGACTGCGAACAACACTCCTAAGAGCGTTTTTTTTTTCTCAAATAAACAGAAATTGTAAAGCGTTAATTGAAATTAGTTTAACAGCAAAAAAACGTGGCAGGTAAAATTCCACGCCCGATTACGCAAAATATGGATTGGGTACAGTACGAGTAAGCCAAACTGCAAGCGCTCCACCCAGTGAACGATATGGAAGCGCTGAGGCGATGTATTCGCAAGTAAATATGTAGCAAATTTCCTAAAGATGTGCATGTGTAAGTATTTGTTGCTACACACATTTTTTGTGTGTGGGTGCTAATATTTGCAATTCGAGATATCGCCATTGTTTTTGAAAACATTCCTCACTAAATTGCAATTTTCGCGCCAATCGCTATTTTTTCGATAAATAGTTAATATATATGTAAATCAGAAATCCAATGTGTTATACATACATATTTTGGACTAATTTATTCCTGAATATAAATTTTCACCTGAAATCATTAGGGCGCGCCGGGAGGGGGTGGTTTCAAAATTTTGAAATTCGTTCAACAATTTGCAAGTTAAAATTTGCTGAAGCTTCTAAATGAAATGAAGAGCTTTTTTTTTGCTGTCTATTAAATAAAGCATTTAGAAAAATATGTCGGCGAAAAAAGGCAGTAAAACCATAAGAGAAATTTAAAACAGCTGCATAAATTGTTTGAAATGAATGTCAAATACATACATACATATGTAAACATTTTTATTACGTGCATTGTTTCGTTTATTTATTTAATTCAGAAGAAAACACTTGTTTAAATGCAAATGCATACACAAGTACGTACAGTACAGTACACCTTACCAGACAAGGAGTTCAACGCACACTCCCGAAAATAAAATATTTTTTTTTTGCTCTCGAAATTTTTTTTTTTGCCGAATCTTTTTTTTTTGGCATTTTTCGGTGGCAACTATGTATGTACATTCAGTAAAATTTTTTTTTAAATAATTCTACTGAAATAATCGAAATACTTCATTGGCAAAAGTTTAATGATTTTTGGCGAGCATTAATTTCCTGATATTAGAGTGGTATGTACGTTAAGATGTTAAGAACTGAGATTTGGTGGATAAGTACTATAACCGGATACTTGAGGTCAATGAACTATGGAACAAAAAAAAAAATTTGACCTCGAGACTTTCCGTTTATATTTAAATGCCAAAAATATGACGAAAATGTAAAAAGGCGATGCCTTCATTCGGCAAAAAAAAAATCGAGATTGCTTGCAAAAATTAAATATAAAGTATTTTCGGAAAAAATTATAAATTTTTTGCTAAGGAAGTGTTTCGATTATTCCAGTAGAACTATTTAACAAAAAAATTGTGTTTATTTATTTATTTGTTTAACACTAAACTTATAATTTAAAATTGCAAGCTAGTGAATAAAGAACGATAGCAACACAGACCTTACGATATTAAAAAAAATAAATAAATAAATAAAATAAAATAAAATAAAATAAAATAAAATAAAGTAAATTGCCTAATGTAGTCACTGAACAAATTTTAAAAGGCGACCCTGTTGAACTTTCTTTTTGCCTATAAAGTGACATTTTATACGAAGTTAGCATTTTAACTGCACATCTGATTGATTTAGAAAAATAAAATATTTATATCCACAAATGTACAAATTTTAATAAGCCTTCGACTTTCAAACTCCCTCGGCCTCAATCCACTCTGACAAGCTTTCACATGTACTATGTGTGAATAAGCGAGCAAACAAGTGTTCGGAGCGCTAAAAAGTTTGGCGCCAAATTACACAGTGCTACTACGAGTGCGTTCAAGCGCGTAGGAATAATCATTTATGCGTTGCATGTTTATAGTAACAATTAATAAATTTGTTCGCTTAGCCTCCGACTAGCGCGTTAAAATTGTTAAAATCGACTGCTATTTAAAGTGACGGTTCTTTTAAGGTAGATTATAACGTTAATGGTCGTTCAACTAACCCCCCTACTGTGAATTTTTATACGATAGACGATAAACGCTTGCAAGCGTATCGTATATACGAAAGCAGTTGTCGTATTATCGTTTTCATACGCCCGACAGGTGTATTGTTGCTAATGGATGTTGAATGGAAAAGCATCAACCTTTTCAAGAATTCCAAAGCGATAAATTCAATAATGTAGAGTCTCAAACAAGCATCAAGATGAAGAATGCAAAACTTTACGAAAAATGTTTGTTGTAAATGTAATTATTGAAGAAAACGAGCCTCAGCGAAAAAAAATTTCAAATATCCACGGTAAGTCCTAGGCACTTAAAACTTGCACTTCATTTTGTTGTAAAAATTTTGATATTTTTATGGCCATTTTTTGGAATTCGCTGAATTTTTGCGAAATTTGCACAAAGTTTGCTACATTGATTTATATGGTTTTTGTTATGGAATGAGCTATATTTTAAATAAAAATTAACCAAAAAGATTCATAATGAAAGATATTTCCAATATAGTGAAAAAAAAATTTAACAACGAATTTTTCTGTGAGTAACTGTATAAGAAAAAACAAAAGAATTAACTTTAAGCAGAGGGAATCCATATTTATGGGGGAAAAAGAAGTTTTTGGTGTATTTAATTTTAGCTTGTTTTTTGATCTCGAAAAAATCGGTTTTTCAACGAATTTGTTCAAAATTATTTTATGATTGTCACTTGCAAAGCGAATAAAACCGTCAAATAAAAATCCTATACTTAGAAATTTAAACCACATAATGGTGCATCTATTGTATAACGATCTTCACTGAAACATTCGAACAATTGCTGGAACGCCTATCGATTTCAAGTGAACCGAACTTTAAATGGTCAATCCAGTAGCATGGAGGATCTCATACCTTGAATTTATAGATTTATGTATAGAAGTACATAGTTCAGAAATTAAATTACAATATATATATATAAAAATGCATACATATGTACGTATATAGGTACATATTTCGCTATAGTGTATACTTGAACGGCTTCTAAAGAACTGAATGGGTTAAAAGGGCGACGTACAACTGACCACGTCAGATATTGCCGTGTATAAGTATGTCCCATAGAACTAATACTGTTTTTACTTGTCATTTACAATTTTTTAACGATATTTGTAGCTTGCTTATTAATTACACGTTGTCAGTCACACTTTTTTGCAAACTTAAATTTTAGATGTTTAACGAAAGTGGTTTTTGATTGGTGCACATTTAAGCATGCAATTTTCTCACACATATGCATGCATACATTTACAAAAAGTGATTCGCGTGTAGATTTTACAGCTCCATAAAAATGATGTATGATTAGTAGAAATACCTACAGCAAAAAATATGTTCTAACAAATACATAGAACCACAACATGTCAAATAAATTTAAAACAGATTCATTAAAATTATTTAAAATAAAAAGATTACGAGAGTAAAAATTTTATTAAAAAAAGAATCTAAATTGTGATTATAGTTTTGGAAAATTTGTGGGTGCTGGGTTAATATTAGGGTCTTTAGACTCGGTTTTCCCAAACCGGTTTCCACCGTTTTTTTGTTTTGGATTTTTAAAGGCGGTTTTTATATCGAATATCGAATAAATCGAATTTTTTTATCGAAGAAACCGTTGTTTTTTTTCATTTCATACAAATCTGGACATTAATACAAAGCAGCATCCTTTTCTATTTCTGAGCCGTTGTAGCCCATTAAATTCTAGTATAAAAAATGCAAGTTCAGAGTTAGTCAAAAAACGCATTGATTTTTGAGAATTTTTTACATTTTTTTCCATATGAAGTATTTTCGAAAATTTTTCTTTTGTATGGAAGAGACTGCGGGAAAAAAAATTGCCGAAAAACAACGGTAATTCGTAGCTACTTAGAACTTGTACTTTATTACAATAAAATTTAGTGGGCTAGAAATCTGCGTACTCAAAAAAATTCTAAAAAAATCTGATAAAAAAGTTGAAAATTTGCAGAATTTTCGGGAGTTTTGCACAAAGTTTGGAAACTATATTTTTATGTTTTTTTATTGCAGAATGAACCATGTTTCTATAAAAAAAATTAGATGAAAAATATTACAATAAAACCTGTTGCATATATTGTAAAAAAGCAGCTGTGCCAATATTTTTTGCCGCCAGTGTATGTATTTAAAGCAATAATATATGAAAACATTTTCTGCAAACTTCTAAATACTTTTGTGAAATGCAAAATTTGTAACAACACAAACTATTTATGACCACTCCTTGCTCCATCAAATTCATAATGTAGCGCACAAACAAACGTCTCGGAAGTAAAATCTTTATACGATTTAATTGTGCATTTTCCACAGCACTTCATTTGCCACAGACAGACATACGATAGGCACCTTTAACCAATTTTCGGCTACGAAAAATATTTATGTATGTAGGTAGTCGTCGCCCATATTGACCATTGTGCCGCATTGTATTTGTAGTTAATTATAATTGCCTATGGGTTTAGGCATGCAAATTCTTCAATAGATTTGCTAGTTCCAGCATTGATAAGATTATCAGCACAAGCAATCAACAATCGCAAAGACACCAAAGAAGCAGAACGGCTGTTAGTTGGTCAGAGAAGAAGTATAAATGTTGCGAGTAAAAATTATGGAAAATGATGCAAGCATTGCCGCCCATGACACTAGTGGGTGTGTTAGTGACACTTGCTGGATGAAAGGTGCAGCGAGACGGCAAAAACAAAAAAAAAAACAAAAATCGTTATAAAAATTAAGTCGGCATTTATAAAGGATGTAAGCGCTTTAGATAAACAAAAAAGGAACAGTCCAGCGCCTTCGTCATGGTCTGCAGGCTGTATCGGAGATACAGCCGCTATATTTAAACGTAGAATACGTGGTATGGTTAAGAGCATATCCAAGTCAAAAACGAAATCACACACTAAGAAAAAAAAATATCGATAACAAAATCGATAGCAAAATCAATAGCAACATCGATAACAAATCGATAACAAAATCGATATAAATATCGATAACAATATCGGTAGCAAAATCGATAAAAATATCGATAATAAAACCGGTAACAAAAGCGATAACAATATCGATAGCAAAATCGATAAAAATATCGATAATAAAACCGATAACAATATCGATGACAAAATCGATATAAATATCGACAACAAAATCGATAAAATTATCGATAACAAAATCGATAGCAAGATCGGTAATAATATCGAAAGCAAAATCGATAAAAATATCGATAACAAAATCAATAAAAAATCGATCAAAAAATTGATAGCAAAATCGATAACCAGACGGAAAAAAAAATTTAAAATCGATTTTTTTAAAATCGATAAAAAAATCGAGAATATCGATAACAAAATCAGTAACAATATCGATAAAAATTTCGATAACAAAATTGATAAAAATATCGATAACAAAACCGATAAAACTATCGGTGACAAAATCGATAAAAAAAATCGACAACTAAACCTAAAAAAATATCGATAACAAAATCGATATAAAATATCGATAAACCAATCGATAAAAATATCAATAAAAAAATCTATGACAAAAATCGATAACAAAACCGATAACAAAACCGATAACAAAACCGATAATAAAATCGATAAAAATATCGATATCAAAAGCGATAATAATATCGATAAAAATATCGATAACAAACCCCATAAAAATATCGATAACAAAAGCGATAACAATATCAATAGAAAAATCGATAAAAATATTGGTAACAAAACCAATAAAAATATCGATAAAAATATCGACAACATAATCGATAAAAATATCGGTAACAAAGTCGATTATAATATCGATAGCAAAAAACGATAAAAATATCGATAACAAAACCGATAAAAATATCGATATCAAAATCGATAAAAATATCGATAACAAAATCGATAAATAATCTATAATAAAATCGATAACAAAATCGATTAAAGTGTCGATAACAAAATCGATAAAAATATCGATCATTATATCGATAAGTTCCGAAAATATCGATAGAAAAATAAATAACAAAATCGATCATTATATCGATAAGTTCCGAAAGTATCGATAACAAAATCGATAAAAATATCGATAACAAAACCGATGACAAAATCGATTAAAATGTCGATAACAAAATCGATTAAAATATCGATCATTATATCGATAAGTGAAAATATCGATAGCAAAATAAATAACAAAATCGATCATTATATCGATAAGTTCTGAAAATATCGATAACAAAATCTATAAAAATATCGATAACAAAATCGTTAGCAAAATCGATAACAAAATCGATAAAAATATCGATAACAAAACCAATATAAATATCGATAACAAAATCGATAAAAATATCGATAACAAAATCGATAATAAAATCGATAACAAAATCGAACGCATACATACTTTTTGTCTCCTTCCCACACTTCCAACATATGCACGTGTTTGCAAAATGATGACGAGGTGATTTTGTATGGAAAATCATTTATGCCCATATATTTGAATAAAATAAACATATATAGAAGATATCAACCAATACTTCCCATATACCAAACGAAAGGAAAACTCTTGAATTTTTGGTTAAATAAAACAAAAACAAAATCATTCGAGCGGTTTTCGAGCATTTTGGTAATGAAAAAAATTTGCAAATTTTTTCAAAAAATTTTTGCCTTAAAATGCTCAATATTTGTTAAATTTATATAAAATTTGTACCCGATAATATTTCTACTGCTCCAAAGAACCTATATCCCGAAAATGAAAGTTATATATGCCAACAATAAGTTGCTAGAGCACTTTAAAGGCTCAAAATTGACCCCAAAATAAGGCAATGTTTACCGTTGTTTTTACGACAGAAACCGAATTGGTTATTTACAAAAATGAATCTGTTGACAGGTTTGGAATTTTATCTTTGAAACGCCACACTTTTCTTTGAAATCGCTTTATTAGTTCTCGTGTAATAAGCGTTTTTGTGAAGCTCTAAAAATTACAACTACAACATTTGAACATAGCCCCCATACCTTAAGGTAAGACGTATTCTACGTCAAAAAAAAAAATAATGCAAATATCAGATAAGCTTGGCGATAATCGAAGGCAGAAAGTGGCAGCAAACAAATAGAAATAAAATTATGCGCGATTATGAATACATACTAAAGAGACATGCTTTGGCAGAACGCTCAGCAAACAACGAAGGGCAATGAAGAAGCTATGTGGATTTCCATATACTTTATATATAGTACTTATGAATTTATAACTATACATACATCACCGGATATGAGATTAGATTTGCGGGAGAAGCCATTGGTTCTTCTTCATATTATATGGCTCTGTAACCAATCGCTTGTGAGTTTGGACCGAGACCAAGCATTCGCTTTTCAGTTTGAGCTTAAAAAGATCGAAAAACGGCCGGAAAAAAAATTAAAAAAAAAATACGACCAGAATACATCTAATGCTGTGATCAAAAATTGAAATATTAATCGGCCGTACAAGTCCTCCAAAGCAACAACAAAATGTCCAATTAAAGTAGTTTGCAGACGTATCCCCTTGAAGAAAATGCTGAAACGCAAGTAATTCCTCCATAAAATTAAACTGTGAGGATATGGAGCAAAATCGCTAAAATAGAGTTCTTTCCATGAGTTAGAAAAACCCTACGTGTGTCAAGTTAGCACTACACTTTTCGAATTTGGAAAAGTTAACTACGGCATTAATTGTGGTGTTTTTGTTGTAAATTTGTTGTGGAAAGAAAAAATTTGTAGCTCTCGTTTTTTAAGAAAAAATGGCACGTAGTGCTAACTTGACACCATACACCTAGTCGATAGAATGGAGATATTGAAAATGTTATAACGGCATTAATTGTAGCTTTTAACTTTAAAATTTGTTGTGGGAAGAAAAAATTTGAAGCTCTCGTTTTTTAAGAAAAAATGGTATGTAGTGCTAACTTGACACCATACACCTAGTCGATAGAATTGAGATATCCAATATGTTACTATGCCATTAATTGTAGCTTTTAACTTTAAAATTTGTTGTGAAAAGAAAAAATTTGTGGTTTCGTTTTTCTGGAAAAAATTGAGTTGACCCTTTTTCGAACAAAATTTAGTTTGTAGTGCTAACTTGACACCATGCCCCATTGACGACAGAATTGACACATGACAACATGGTGTGATAGCTATTGACATTGCCGTTGAAAGCATTGCTTGGGTATTGAGCTAGAACTGGTACTGTCGGCAAAAGGTCTAGTTCTAGGCTAGTCAGATTTGATTTTCTGCAGGGTATGTTTGAACACTCCCTGATGAAAATCTGACTAGCTCAGAACTAGCGTAGAACTAGACCCTTAGCCGACATTACTAGTTCTAGCTCAATAACCAAGCAATGCTTTCAACTGTCCAGTTTTACACGGCGATGTCATTGGCGGTGGCAGTTGTCGCCCAGTGCATTACTTTGCAACCAGTTTTTAACCGGTCCCGTTTTGGACAGTTTTTCTTTTATAAGAAAACGTATTTGAGATTCGATTTTTGGATATTTTTTTTCGATTTTTCTTTTCTTGTACAGATTCCATTTTTGTTACATATTTTATTCAAAAAAAAAATATTGTAAGCTGCATGCAATAATTTGAATTCATTAAATTTGAAAACTCACAACTGCCTCCACCGCGATGTGAACTCGCAACTAACGATAGTTGAGTCGGAGGTCTTCTCGCTGAGCTACTTTCGTATTGTACGAGTAGTGAGCATTTGCACATTTACACCGCAAGTTTCAACTGTCCCGCTCTGCATTCCTTTTGAACTAGTTCAGAGATAGATCTGAGATATTTAGTTCGGAACTAGCGCTTTGCCAGACTGTCTCTATATTTTACTGCAGGGCTCTTATGCATTCATAAGGTATTGGCTTTCGATGCTTTCTCCTGGTACGAAAAAACGCATGCTTGTTTCGTTGGTGCGTGGTAAACATTGATCCCTTATGGATTGACAGGCAGCTAAAATTTAAAAGATTGCATCTTTTTCCTAAATTTATTATAATCAGTAATTAAAAATGTTTGTAAACCATCCAACGTGTGTCAAGTAATTGTTTTGTG